GTGTGTGTGTGTGTGTGTGTGTGTGTGTGTGTGTGTGTCACCAAAATATATTCTGTTTTCCTCCTCTTCTTCTTTTTTTGTCTTCCTTTGTCCAAAGTCCTGTGTATCATTGAGCTGCTTTTATTTTCCTTCTAACTCTTCAAGTGATTTATTGACCAAACAATCAATGAACTGATCAGAAAATTCATCGACTTCTGATCAGCGAATAAAATCTCTCTGATCTGGATTCATTTCTTATATTTGCATTTTTAAACCTACCAGCTGTCGGTGTTTGATGATGATGGGATTTTTGGAGAYGATGACAGTTTGCAGAAATAATTCAGCATCAAATATGAACACAACCTAATTTATATATTTAGTATTTTACACACAAACACAAATCCTTTTTAATTATACTTTCTTTACTTTTAGCAAATCTCCCTGATCAGCCTTTATAATTATTCTCCCTCTGCAGTTAAAACAATCATAGATTATAATGTACTTATTAGACTCTTCATTGTTCTCCTCTTCCCTCCTGGTTTTAAACCGCACAGCAGTTTCCCCTCTGAAGCAGTGCTAACGGTGGATTTATTAGGCTTAAAGTACTGCTAACACATCTTCATCAGAGGGAGATCAGACATTAAGTGTAGCTCAAAAGGATATGCTCTTAAAAAACAGAACAATGTCTCTTGAATGCTTTACTTATTTTTTAATTCTCCCTGTAATGCAGGGATTTTACATCCGAGCACTTTAAACGTAGCAATTCAAGCACGGCAAGAATCCTCCTGTATGGATGAAACCGCTTGTTTTTCTTTTTCTTTTTTTTTTTTTAATCATAATTGTTCATAGATGAGTACGAGGAAGAATAAATCTTTATCTTATTAAAGGAAATGTCACAGCAGAAGCCCTAAAACAAAATGTTTCAAACTGAGGGGGATCACAAGCTGAAATATGTCGAGTGTTTTCTTTTCTCTCTCTCACTTTCTGTAGTTTGATATGTTTTATTTTTTTTTTGGTGGAGACAGAAAAGCGGAGGCGTAGTTACATTTTAAAGTGCAGGCTGACTCCTCTGTGCTTTTGTGTTTTCGCAGAGACGGCTCATTGTATGAAACAGTGACACAGCTTGAGGGAAAACGGTGGACTGCTGGGCTGGATCTGTAACATTCACATATCCACCAAACACAAGCAGTGACCTACTACGAGTCATCCTGACTCCGGCATCAAACACTCTTTGCTTTTTTGTTTCTCTGGGCTTTAACTGCAGCACTTTTTTATTTATTTTTTGCTCTGGTGTTCCTGCTTGTACAGGCCTACAGTATATTGTAAGTTGTGTACGTGTACTTCTACACTCATCGGCGGAGTTGCAACACCTCTCACACAAAGTAGGAAAAGGAAAATATGTATGAATGTGAAACTGAGTACAACTGCTTACCCCCTCCCATGCCAAACCCAGCTAACCATGCGTGCCCCCTTCCCCATATACCCCTCTCCCTCCCACCCAGCCCTCCCCTCCTGAAACTCCCACACTCCACACCCAATAGAGCACCCGTTGCTAGGCGACAGAGGGAGAGAGATGAATTGAGGAGACATAGTCAATCAATTCTACAGAGAGAGGGTGAGAAAGGAAAGGGGGGAGGCAGAAGGAGTTAAAGAAAGAAGGAACGAGAAGAGAGAGAGAGAGAGAGAGAGAGAGAGAGAGAGAGAGAGGGAGTAAAGGAGGACAGAATGCAGAGTGATTGCAGTCGCATTAAAGCTCCACTTCTGGCCGAAGACGCTCTTTTGAAACATCTGTCTTTGTTAACTGTATCATGCCTCTGAAAATAAATCTATCTCTGCAGCTGTCCACCCTTCCATCTTTGTCCAAACGCTTTCCTTTAATACTTTTATCACCACAAATTACACTCTGCACAAGCAGTCTGTGTTTAATATTCCCTCACTCAAAAAGGGAGTTAATTGTATATTGCAAACGNGATGGATGGATGGATGGATGGATGGATGGATGGATGGATTGATGGATGATGGATGGATGGATGGATGGATGCCAAAGAATTACAGTTTAATGAATACTTCTTGACTAAATATAAAACTGAGTAGGCAAAGACACCTTTTTTAGTGACATTAGTTTCTTTTGTCACTGCTTATGTTCAACTTCTAGATTCTTTGTTATATTCAAATAATCAGTTTTACAACTTACTAATACTAAAATATTGACTTCAAAATCCTATTCACAAGTTAATAAATGCATTTATTGTGGCTATGAGTGTCTTACAAACTGAGACTATAGCAAACACCTTTTGTTTCAGTCTAAAATAAGTACAGAATTTATAAAAACTCATGTGAGAAAGGTTTGTGCATTACTAATACAGTCTCAATATACTTTTCTAATTTCACTGGTTTATGCCTCCTTGACTCATTTTGAGTTTGTTTCCTTATCTGAGACCCAAAATAAAGTAACATTCCTGAATAATTCTTGAAGGACTTATTTATTTCTGAAATATGCTTGAAGCACACAGAAGCAAAGCGAGATGAAGTTTGTTAAAGGAATAAGACAGAAGTCACTCACAGTGAAAATCCCAATTGAAGCAGCAGAATGACATGTTGAATAAACCATCGCTAAATTCTGAAAATCAATACAAACAGAAAAAAAAAATTAAAAGACTAGCAGAACAGCATATCACCTGACGCTGTTTCAAACCAAGATCATCTTATAAGAAATTATGGAGTTACAGTGGTTTTGGTCAAACCTTATAAATGATGCTGTAGCATGATCTCATGCATTATATTATATGAAAAAAGATTAATTATCTGTATTAACCATCGTGAAATGGTTTGACTCCAAAAGTAAATCTGCTATAGATTTGTGTCCAAGGACTAATTCCAGTGATTTACGAGATATTTTTCTGACAGATAGAATTTACTCTAGCAGTTCATGGTAAAGTTTTAAAAACAGGGCTTTATCAATATGTTAGTGCTTGACGTACATAAGTTGGACATGACTCCCAATGACTTATGTCAATTATCGGTGTCATCACTTTGAATAGAGTTACAAAGGAGGATATCTTTTAGTCTAGTTGGATCACCATTGTAACGAAGGCTGAAGGTTGGCTAGGTTTAGGGTAAGGGTCAGACCACAAAAATGAATACAAATTACTGGAAGTCATTGAACTAATAAAAGGGATAGAACTACAAACTTGTGTGTGTTTTGTTTTGAGCAGATTTAATCAAACTCAGAAAGTAATCACTGGATGTACTTCTACAACTGATTCACTTTTTGAGTCGGTCCCATTTAGGATGACTGCCATTTCTCAGCAACCTATATCAAACAAAAATTGGTTTTAACTGTAAGTCTTTGGTGTGGCTGTAGCTGAAATTAACAACATGCGGACACAGCTAACACATCTTGTAAGATCTATCCATGAGAAGAAGTAAAATCATGATTTGGTGAGCAGTTCTGTATAAATAAAATAGATTGCCTGCTTTATTGCTCCAGGAATATTTCAAGCATGTTCCTTGCCTTTCAAATAAAACCTTCTCAATTAAAGGACTGCTCAGTTGACCTAACAGCTTTGTTTCACAAATCATCATGTGAACCGAGTCTGGCTGAGTTAAAAATAAAATTTCAACATTTGGGAACTTAATCCCTCGCTGACAGCAGTGGAGAATTTGGCTTCCTGTGAGCAGAATTTACTGAGAATTTGGGGAAAAGTTGTTGGACAACAAGACACTGATCACATTATTTTATGTGAAATCCATCTGTAAATTTTGAATGGCTTCCCAAGCAGGCAGCTGAAACCAACAATAAATCTACAAAAGCCTTTTCTGTGGACATTAGAGCAGCCTATTAAAGTCAGCACACAGACGTCCGTCCAGCAGCATGTCGATAACCATGGCAGAGAAGTGACCGACTGCCACTTTTAAGTCAATAATGCTTTAGATCTGCACAGACATGCTGTGATCAAATGCTCCCATTTCTCCACTAATAAGCCTCTTTTTGTGTGTGTTTGTGTGTGTGCGTGTGTTCACTCCTCTGTTGAGAGCTGGGTGTACACACACACACACACACACACACACACACACACACACACACACACACACAAACATGCAGATGCCCAGCAAAACCACATGGCCCTCAGTGTGTGTGCGTGTGTTCACGTGTGTGTGCAGAGCTGGGTGTTGAGCGCATCGACTGAGTATTGATCCCACCACTCACCTCCCTGCAGTCAGCTCTTGTCCTACATAGCATGCCCTGTCTGATTTCTCCCTTAATGGCTTTTATCCAGCTACAATCTTTATTTAAACTGAAAAGTAGGAATTAGCACCCACTTCTATCCTGGTTTCTCTTACCTTTTTCTTTTCACCGTCGTCCCGGAGTTAGAATGGGTAACTATAGGTCCACTGACCCCCCTCCCTGCTTCCCCTGGCTATGACGGCTTTCCCGCTCGCAAATGTGCAGCACAGCGTTTTATTTCCATTTCTCCTGGGTTTCCCACTGTTCATTATTTGCTTCTATATTCAGATAAGACACAGAGTGCTTCAGCCCGTGCTCTGTCGTTGATAAGTCTACTCGAGACGCTGCTGCTTCAGTCGGGTCTATAAAATGTCAACACAGAAATCGTGCGAGATCATAAAGTCAAGTTGATTTCTTCAGGGGTTTTTCACCACTTGAGATCTTATAAACATGTTAAAACTGTCATGATCTGTGTTTTTATGGCCTCCTGTGCCTTGTTGAATTTGTGTTTTGTGATCCTTGTGTTTTATTTTTCACCTGCGTTTCAGTTCTTCTGTGTTCCTTGCGCCATCAGTTCACTTCTCCACAGTTCAGCTCTGCCCTGYCCACTCTCACCTGTTCCCATTTTGCACTCAGCACAGGTTTTCCTCATCAGCCCAGACTTTTAGATTCTGTCTCTCTCTACCTTCAGAACAACTTTGCATTGTTTGTTTGTTTGTTTGTTTGTTTGTTTGTTTGTTTGTTTGTTTGTTTGTTTGTTTGTTTGTTTTTCGAGCACCTTGAGTCTGTCTGCATTTCGGGTTTTAACGTTTGGCTGATTGTAACAGAAGCTCTAACAAAAACCCAGAACCCATCTCTACAACCTTCTGATGACAGCAAACCTTTCACCCGTGGACATCCTRGATATTGACTCACCACTATTTCTGTAAACCCAGACCCCTTGTACCAACAAACAGCTTATCTCACCATAAAAGATATCCTGTTCTCCCAACCTGGATTTCTTCAGATCCCAGAGTACCTAAACTCCTTACTGMGATCAGAACATTGGGAGGCTAATTATCTTWTCTTCTCATCCTGATGTGTTCGACCCCATGAGCCCAGCTACTCTGCAGAGCCCAGTCAGCCTCCAGTGGTGGGCCAGTCATCTGGGATTRCATCTTGTAAATACAGTTGCCTGAAGCAGGTTAACTCTGTGGCTGTCAGGGACCTCAATCTTCAGGGGTCTTCAAGGGTCCACATTTAACAGACACTGAGAACGATCTTCAGAATGCACCAGTCTCTGAGGGTCTTCAGAATGCACCAGTCTCTGAGGGTCTTCAGCATGCATCAATCTCTGAGGGTCTTCAGCATGCATCAGTCTCTGAGGGTCTCCAGAGTGCATCAGTCTCTGAGGGTCTCCAGCATGCATCAGTCTCTGAGGGTCTCCAGAGTGCATCAGTTTCTAAGGGYCTCCAGCATGCATCAGTCTGATGGTCTCCAACATGCATCAGTCTCTGCTGGTCTCCAGCATTCACTAAGGGTTTCCAGCATGCGGCGGTATGGCAGAGTGGTTAGGAGAGTCGTCCTGAAACCGGAAGGTCACCGGTTCGATCCCCAGTTCCAGCTGTCTCARTTACTGWGTCCTTGGGCAAGATACTTCACCCCTAGTGCCTCTGATGTGTGTCCCATCAGTGTATGAATGTGATTGGCACTGATTATTCTCCGTAGATGATTGTACATGTTAGCTTTGTAGGAGATCTGGTAGAGTGCTGTGTGAATGGGTAAATGAGGGCACAGATAGTAGTGTGAAGCAATTTTAGTATCCTGGTTGGGTAGAAAGGCRCCATACAAGTACAGTCCATTTACCATTCGTCAGTCTCTGAGGTTCTCCAGAATGTATCAGTCTTGGATGGTCTCCAGCATTCATCAATTCTGAGGGTCTCTAGCATTTTTCTTGTGTCATCAGTTCACTTCTCCACTAATCGGCTCCAGCCTGCGCCGCCCACTCTCACCTGTTCCCATTTTGCATTCAGCACAGGTTTCACTCCTTATCTCATCAGACTAGACCTTTAAAGTCTCTCTCTCCACCTTCAAATGAGCTTTGCATTGTAGTCGCTTCCATATGTTCTTGTTCCCCCTTTCACAGACTATAAGTTTTGCTGACAGAACAGTGTCTTGTTTTGCCTTTTTTTTATGGCAAGCTTTTGAGTTTCTTGAGTCTGTCTGCATTTTGGGTTCCAAATTCTGGCCGGTCATGATAGAAACCGTTCCAGATCACACAACATATGCAGAGCATGTTTTACTTGTTAATTTAACATGCTCTCATATACATGGACAACAGATAAAACTAGCCTACATGGCAAATTCTGGCATTTTCTGTAATATGCACTGTAAAGAAACAAACAAACAAACATGTAACAGTTACCTGCTTTTGTTCCAAACTCACACAGGAAACATGCAAAACGTGTTTCTTGTGTAAAGTTCAATTGCTGTTGACAACCAAATGTCACCAGCAATTAGTTTTTTCAGAGAATTGTTTGGTTATAGTGTGTTAACTGAACAATATGAATGTAGGGGTCACCTCGATTGAAGAAACAAGATTTATTGCCTCGAAGCAGGCCTCGGACAGGCCTGACGAGAGGAC